GTGCTCTCCCAGGGACTGCTTGTCTGCTCTGTGCCCCATGGCTGCCTGATGAGGGCGCTACAATATAACAATATATGGAGAACAGGAGGGGTGACGGCACACAACCTTGGGGAGCACCTGCATTTAAAAACCAATTCATCTGAGAACACACTGTTCATGTGGACTCCCTGAGGTCTATCTGTGAAGAAGTCCAGAACAGCTTCTGTCCCACTGCAGTCCGCCAACTGCAGTGCCTTCATGCACATCTGCACTGCGGAATTTTTTACAGAGTCTACCATTTTTTGGGGTCTCACTACTACATGTTTATTTATTTTTCCACAACATACTTCTTGTCCCTGTGGTCTACAATGTGTGGTGTTGTCTGTTGTTCTGTGTATGTCCCGGGAGATCAGCGTGGTGAAGAATTCCATATGACAATAAACTCCTCTACTCTCTACTGCTACTAAGTCTCCAATCCAGTGTAGAATACTCCCATCCACATGCAAGGCAAAGAGGCATTGTAAAATAAATGAACTTGCATAGTACTGAAAGCAGAGCTAAAATCAATAAAAAAGGGCCTGCACCAAAGAATTTGGATGCTGGAGATGCTTGGCTCTGAACTCAACTAAAGTAAGTGTTGCATCCTCTGTCTCTCTGTGTGCTCTGTCAGCAAATGGTAAAGGATCCAAAACGTCCATTACTGATAACATTACTGAGAGCTAAAGGTCTAAAGTCTTTAAATGATTAAGCCTCCTGCCTTTTGGGAAAAGGTACAAAAGTAGATGCCTTCCCTACGTCTGGCACAGTATGGACATTGAGCACAAGCTGAGAAAGTGGGGTAAAATACCTTTGGAAGTTGCCCAATTCAGACATTTGGCACTTTCCTCCTTAACCCGTCAGGCCCTGGTGCTTGTTTTAAGGCATGCAAGACAATGTGGTAGATTTCTTGAAAATGGCCAGTACAAATCTTGAGGATTTTATATGGTCTGTGCGCATTGTGCACAGCCAGGTGTAGTTTTGAAAACTAGCCACATTTTGCACATATGTCTGGCAGTGATCAGT